ATATGCCTAGATGCCTACTTCAAAGTCATGTATACTCTTATTGAGCTCAATCAGTTACAGGGGGCAAAAAAGTTTTTAGTCAGCACCTTGTGCAAGTTCTCCCACTTAAAAAGATTGGAGAGAGGCCTGTAATTTTCATCCTAGGATATCCTCAACCATTCTTTGGAGGGGTTGAATTCCGTGTTGCCCAGCGACAGCCCAAACATCACCGTGCTTGAGGAGATTGCATGGAGGAATGGGCCAAAATACCGAGCGTTGGTGTGCAACCTGTGACGACTTACAGAAAACGTTGACCTTCTGTCCTTGCCAACCGGGTATATACAAGTATTGGAGGAACTTTGTTATTTTAAAATATTCTTTTCCCATATTGTGAACAAATTTCTTTAAAACTCAGGCAATGTTGATTTTCTGGATTTTTTTCTTTCTCATTTTGTCTCTCATAGTTCGGAGGTATACTAGGAGAAAGGTGTGACGGGCCTCTCTCACTCTTTTAAGGTGGGAGAACTGCAATTGGTGGCTGACTAAATACTTTTTTGCCCACTGTAATACATTCCACCATGCTTACCTGAACTCATCATGACATAGAGCGGACGGCGAGAATTGTATTTCCCGTGTTCCTGTGAATGCAACAGAGGCAACACTAGACCACGCAGAGAGTTGAATGGTATAATACATCTGTTTTTATTGCTGACGCTCCTTCCTTTGCTGGTGACAATGGGTCTAATTGTCAGTCGGACTCAGAGTTTTTGAAGATGGCATAGACAGATTTCTTAAAAGAGCGACATTCTCAAGTGTGGCTCACACAACAACCCCAGAGCACAGCTTGAGCCAGGTAATGGTATGTAATGTCAGTAAACTTCCAAGAATGCGAACATGTAAGCAAGCTAAATAACAGCTACGTTGAGTTCTTTGATCGGGGGTAAGCTAACCGTTGCAGTAATGTAAATGTGTCTGTTTGGCCACTGACGTTGCCATAACAACACCTGAATTCAAAGGCAGCCTCTTTTTGTGACAGATTTTTGCAAGAAATTTAATTCTTGGGGTATTCCTATTGACAGGCTAGTTTCTATGTGAACATGTATGAAGGAAGCCAGGGAATAAATGAAATCATTTGTGAAGTATTATGACCAAAAAAGAATACAGTTTAAAGGGGAGTGATTTGTGAATATAAGAAATAAATCTGTTTACAGGTTCTGTTTCTTATGGATGTTGAGAGATGTTCGATAACTCTTAATTTTGCTATCCAAAGTGCACAGATTGATGCTTTTAACTTCATATTTTTAAAATCTTCCCGGAGGGAGCATGCCCCGGACCCTCCTAGCGGGGGAGTGAGCCCCCTAGAGGAGTTAGTTCCAGTGTTACATGTTATTTATACAATATGTGTGCTTCATGCTAATCAAGACAAAGCTTGGTTCGTGTTGTGTGGTAGGGAGAACCGCCAGGTGAGGGGGGCCCCCAGCAAGCTCGCCTAGGGCCCCCAAAGCTAGGGCGGCCCTTGGGTACCAGGACAGGTAGACAACGTGTTTTTCGGATGGAAAATGAGCCAAACGCGAAACGCAGTTGGATGCTGGAGGCCTACATTCAAAATACTTCCTGACTGATATGGCGCACCTTTTGTCATGTTGTTACGAACTGCAGATTATTGACTTAGGTCTGGACGATCAGTCGAATGCCTTATCTGGTGATTTTCGCAGATAACACTAGTAACCCGCCCCTTTTAAAAAAACGGGCTCTTTTGACGACTCTTTTGATACGGCTTCTTTGAAAGGACGGAGACCATAAGTCCGGCTTCCCTTCAATGAGCCTTAAATTCCGTCACTAATAAGAAGCCAGATTTTACGGCGGCATGCATGGGCCGCCTGGGGGGTTTCCTGAATGGTCCGTTGCGGAGTAGAAATTAAAGGGTGTTCTGTTGTCGTTGCGTGGACCTTCTTATCTCCTTCTTTGGGGGCCCTTCTGGTCCGGCGTGGCCCAAGCAGTTACCTGTCGCAGCGGCGGCCCTGCTTCACTGATTCATTTAGGCTTTGCGCATTTTCTTCTCAAGGAGATGCAAAAGGCAATACCCCATAAGAAACACCCAAAAAGCTAACTAGTGTATACTTTTTTTTTTATAAGCAAGTCATTGTTAGTGCGATTAGTGCTATTGGCGTTAGATAATAATATATATCAAGAAAATCAAAAAGTGCTGCGTACGAGAAGTGACGTTTTTAAATGTGACTTGTATTTTTCACGGTCAGTTTAGCGGACGTGTCAGTGTGTGGACCGTTCAGGGTTTTTTAGTAATTTACTCCTCAAGTCATCATTTATAAATTAAAGCTCCATGTCAGTTGCTTTTCTGGTTTTACCGTCCCCTTGTGTGTTATGAAGGTTTTTCTGCATGTAACGGGTCTGCAGGTCAAACCTCAAGTTACCCTGTAGGAGAAAACTCTTGAAAACAGAATACTCCCAAACAGACCTCGTGGGTGAAAATTATCATGACGTCATCATCCATTTGATTCTTCCGGGTACGTGCTTACGAAAGCACGTACCCGGAACTAAATGGGCCAATCCGTGGAGCCGTTACGTTACGTCCGCGGAGCCGTTACGTTAAGCCCCCGCTGATTGGTCCAAATTGATCAATCCACACACACACATCAGTGCAGGCAGCTCTGCTGATTTCTGCTCCCTGCTGCAGGCTGATAACATACAGTTGGGATCGCGGTGAAATTCTCTCTGCAGATCCATTCTCACATCGTTTATCAACCTATAAACCTTTTTCTTACTCAATATCAAGCCACACTTATTGTTTTTATTTCGGCTGTGACTTTGTGTGTGTTCAGGTTGAGTTTGGCTGTGTTTGGCTGTGTATCGCTAAACAAGGAAATCACGGAGGGGGGCGGGAGGAGCTGCAGCCAGCCGTTTAGTGGAGAAAGTGAATACTGCTGAATACACATACTTTACAGAGATGCTGTATGCGAAACCAATGTGAGTTTGGAAAATTGCACAGTATTTTTCTATTTTAGTATACCTCAACAATGGAATTATGATCAGTGGAAATGGCCATGACATGTGACCTTTAAAATAACATTTTCAACAGGCTTTTTAAAACTTATTTGGGAATAAAACTTTAGGACTTTTAGCAATCCTCTCTCCCTTTGAGTCTCGTAAAGCCTGGGACTGCCTGAGCTGTGTGTATCCAGCTGTAGACGTGGACACACAAACACACACCCAGTGAACAATAAGAAAACAGAGTCCGGAGAGTGTTTGCTCTCAAAGTGTGTGACCAGGACAACCGGGCCTGCGTCACAGCCCTTCACATCCAGGCGTGCCAAAACACCATCCTCTTTATTTCACGTGATTAATGTTTGATTAATGGTTAATGTTACACAGAGGGAATTCCAGACACACCTTAAGCCGCTGACTTTACATCACGCTCGGCAGTCAGAGGAGTGTGTTTGACTTTGAGCTGCTTGAGAGTTACACAAACAGGATTTGGGTTTGTATTTCCTCTCCGTGCCGAACAGATTCCTCTCGTGACACCCTGCTGGTCGGTTGCTACGCTGAGTCTGCTGCACATTCCTCTGGTCTAATATTGGCATGCTTTCCTCCTTCACCTGGGAGACACAATGCAGCGTTTACAGGAAACTACTGCCTCTGCTTTTCATTCAACACAAAGGCTTATTAAATTATATGTGACCCGCTAAGGTTATTCAAACATGCTGACAACCTGCTGGAAAAAAAGTCCTGGCAGGGAAATAAAAACAACACATTCCAAATTATGTAAAGCAAAAATGTAATCCCTTCAAAATCATTTAATGTTTGTGAGCACATCTTTTAAGGATTCAAATAGATTTTAAAGCTGAAAAAGTATTTTCGAGATTCAAAATTGTTTATTTATTTAGGAGTGCAACGTATTCTCATACAATGTTTAATATAGCTTATAAAAATGCTATTGATCATGTTTCGTGCAACCTCATTGTTTCTACATGCTCCTACGAACGTCCTTTCAAACTCTCAATGGAGGGGACAAGGATTTTAGCCTTTGCAGACCTTTACCATGCACAAAAACCTATATGACACACTACAGGAAAGAGACAAGCCAAAAAAAGGACAATATGGCCCCTTTAAAAGGCTGTGCTGCACAGGGGCGGTTCTACGGGGGGGCCAACAGGGGCCAGTGCCCCCGTAACACTGACCAGGGACCCCCCTCCAAAAAAAAGGTTACAATATTACGATTTATTGGAACTAAATCAAATCAGAGACCTGGATGTACAGTACAGTGGAGATTAAACTGTTCCTTACCTTATATAAGCAAATACTTTTTATATTTTTTAATGAAATTGTCACTTAAAGTTACTAAAACAAATACTCTAAATGAAAAAAAAGTCTATTTTACACAATTACTTCCTACTTTCTTTGTCTTTTTAACCCGCTTTGATTGTGCCTCTCTCATGAAATAACTGGCCCCAGCCGGCCCCCCCGGTAAAATTGGTCTAGAACCACCACTGGTGCTGCATGTACGTTTCTATATTTGCAGCTTCTTTCCATTGCTCCCAGATGGCCCAAAAATCTGTTATGTACGAGTTACAATAGAGTTACTTGAGGGTACCAATTAAGTTAGCAAAGCATCCAAAATGACTTAATCGTTTCAGTCAAAGGATGAATTATAAATACATCATTTCTGAGCTTCCTACTGAAGTATCAGAGGATGATTAGCAGCAGGGCCTCATGTGGCTGCAGTCCCTCTCTCAGGACCATCCCCCGCATGTTTCTCATTAACTGACTTCTACCTGCTCCTCTTCCTCCTCCTGCTCCTCTTCCTCCTGGTGCTGCAGCTGCTAAAGAACAGAGAGGTTAGACCACCAGCTGCTGGTTGTTCATCAAAAAGAGATTGAGGATGTTTCATACTGCTTCATTTCCTGGATCTGAATCACTCGCATACTGGGACTGATGGGGTGGAAAGTCCCCTAGAGATTTAGAAAGATTTTTTTTACTAAAACACACAGCATGTAACGTATTTACATGCTGTGTGTTTTAGTAAAAAAAATCTAAAAAAATAAGGTAAGAGCCAAGGCTGCTCATCCGTGTGGTAAATGTACTTTTTTTTGGTAATGCTTGTTCTTACTGTTTTACTGTTTTAACTTATTTACGTAGAAACATATATATTCATTTCATTTTATCGTTTATTTGAAAAGGGACAATGCACATTGATGAACACTTAAAACAAATAATGCTCAGAGTAAATATGCTGGATTTTAGCTTTGAGCTCATTTCCATCCGTAGTCCGTCACATACAACATTTACGAACATGACCTTTATATACATAGCAAAAATAAATACAGTCCATGTAAACATTTATTAAAAAAAACAAATACTTTTAAAAGACTTAAAATTGTCAAAACTCAAGAAATTGTGTTTTTTAAGGATGGTACACTGGTGGTATGAATTTGGCTTTCTGCCAAACACCTTGACAGCTCTCTTGTACAGCTGTTCTATCGGTTGTTATGTTTAAACATCTCTTACATCCCTGTATTATGTAAATTGTTATTATAATAATGCAATTAGTGTCTACCATAAGTATATTTTATTTAACAATTTATATAGATCCAGAATCGTGTTTATTACTGTATGTAGTATTTTACAAACAAGAAATATCATTTAGTGAATTTGTGTGTAGAAAATGTAACAAAATTAATAACAATTACATTAAAAGAAGAAAAATGAGAATAAATTACTTTACGAAAAAAATACTTATAAAATATCCCCATCATTTGTTTAAAAAATGTAAAATAATAATAATTTAAAAAATCAATTAAAATAAAATCTGTTAAATAGTAAAAAAAAAAGATATTCTTTAAGAAAATAAAAAACACATACATAATTATAAATTTATTTTATTTTAACTTCTGTACAATTTCATGTCATGAGCCTTATTAGAACAACTTCTCCTTGCATAGTAAAAATAAATGACTTTACCGAACAATCCTCTCCCAGGCTGATCCTCTGAAGGAGTCTGTCGCCCTCAGGTGATAACTTACAGAAGTTACAGCATTTATTCAGCCTATCGGTGAGCAGGAAGCTGTGAGTGTGTTAGGGTGTGAGCAGGGTGACGCACTTAACAAGAACACACTCATAAAGGTGAGCAGGCAGGAACAGGCTCACTTCCAAGATCCCTCTGAACAGAATGGAAACAAAGAAAATCACAACGCTGAGAGAGGGCTTCCTCGTGAAGCGGGTAAGAAGACATTACAAATACATTAGATTATAACTGCTGTCAAGTCTAGAGTTAATTGAGTAGTTAGGGATGAAGTAGAGAGTAAAAGTTTCCATATATTCATATTTTGTTGTTGTTTCTTAGGCTGATGTTTACTTTAATTACTGAAATCCAAGTGGTCTCATGTCACACTGATGTATTGTTTGTAAGCGCAGGGTCTTTTTGTAAAGGTGTAACTAAGTACATTTACTCACTGTACTTAAGTACAATTGATAATACTTTTCTACTTTTACTTGAGTAACATTTTGAATGCAGGACTTTTTCTGTAACAGAGTATTCCTACACTCTGGTACTTCTACTTTTACTAGAGTACAAGATCTGAGTACTTCTACTTTTACTACAGTACAAGATCTGAGTACTTCTACTTTTACTCAACTACAAGACCTGAATACTTCTACTTTTACTACAAGTACAAGACCTGAATACTTCTACTTTTACTTGAGTACAAGATCTGAGTACTTCTACTTTTACTACAGTACAAGATCTGAGTACTTCTACTTTTACTACAATACAAGATCTGAGTACTTCTACTTTTACTCAAGTACAAGATCTGAGTACTTCTACTTTTAATCAAGTACAAGATCTGAGTACTTCTACTTTTAATCAAGTACCAGATCTGAGTACTTCTACTTTTACTCAAGTACACGTTATGAGTACTTCTACTTTAACTAACAGATCCGAGTACTTCTCCCTCCTCTGATTTGATTTCTTCTGATGATTTCCTCTCAGGGTCATCTCGTCCACAACTGGAAGCCGCGCTGGTTCGTTTTGGTGCCGGACAGGCTTCTGTATTTTAAATACGACGGAGGTAAAAGAGACTCGTGCCAGCGAGGGAAGATCCTCCTGAAGGACTGCGAGATCACTTCTCCTTTCCTGGACTATGAAAACCGACCGGTGAGCTAATCCAGATTTAAGGCCGACATGATGTTAACTTTAAAGATTCAAAAGACTCAAACGTTTTTTAAAGACACAAAAAAATAGATTATTTTATAATTATTATTTTGTTAATTCTATATATATATGTTTGAATAGAATTGAATTATATTGAATTATTATTATTATTCATTTTGTATGTAAAAAAAGTAATGTGCAGTTTATCCCACGATCACAACTTTCCCGTCATTTATTTAATGTATTAAAAGTAAACCTGCTGTATTTTTTGTTTGTTACTTATTTCATTTTTTTTAAATAAGACAAAGAAAAGAAAAGAAAAGGAAATCAATTATATATAAAATACGAATTAATATTCCTTAATAAATTGGTAAAATATTTCTTAAAACTTTACTAAAATAATCTATTTGCAGATATATATATATTTGCACATTTGAATTCACATTATGAGATTACACATTCAAATTAAAATACATTACATTCCCCAAAGCGACTCACAGGAGCCATTTAGGGTGAAGTGTCTTGCCCACTGCACGGCATACCGTCTGCAGTGGGGATTGAACCCCCTCAGTGCACCAACCCACTGAGCCACAGCCTCCTAAATAGGTGCATATTGTGTCAGATGTTTCCTTTGTTTATGTTTTTATGGTTAGAAACCACAGTAAGGTGCGTCTTCACCAACTCTCCTCCTGTATCGCCTCAGGATACGGTTTTGTCAGGACCTGAACTCTGAGGAACGATTTGCCTTCCACTTCTTGGCCGAATCCACCAACTATAAATCTCCTTTCTGTGTATCTGTTTCCAGCTGGTGATCAAGCTCCGGACGAAGAATGGCGTGGATCATTTCCTCGAGGCTTGTTCCCGAGAGGAGAGGGATGACTGGGCGGGAGATATCAGCGCCGCCATGGAGAAACTGCGGGGCCCCGAAGGTGTGAAGGGGCCAAGTCTTCAAACTACTACAGGACCCCAGCTGCACGACATCAATCTGATGTGAGGCTTTTGAAAACTGTGTTTAACCTTGTGGTGTTTTCACTGTCTCACCAAACGCCATATTTCTGATGATTTGTCTGTTTTTTAGCAAAGTGCTGGAGTCCATGTATGACGTGCACAGTGGAATCAAGATGGGAAACCACTTGGATCACGGCAGCTCGTACAGCAACTGTTTCTCAGGTACGCCTTTATAATATCCTCTTTTTAAATTACCTATATCTTAGACTATGAGAAGAAGTCTTGAGGCCTGTGGGATAGAACTGGTGCCCGAACAGAGAAACTGCAGTGACCTTGAGTCCTGACCCCGGTGTGTAACACTAGAGGTGGGAAAGTAGTGGAGTACAAATACTTTGTTACTGTACTTAAGTACATGTTTCTGGTATCAGTACTTTACTCCACTACTTATTTTTCTGACGACTTTTCCCTTTGACTTCTTACATTTTGAACACAAATACCTGTACTTTCTACTTCTTACATGTTGAACACAAATACCTGTACTTTCTACTTCTTACATGTTGAACACAAATACCTGTACTTTTGCACTTTCTACTTCTTACATGTTGAATCCAAATACCTGTACTTTCTACTTCTTACATGTTGAACACAAATACCTGTACTTTCTACTTCTTACATGTTGAACACAAATACCTGTACTTTCTACTTCTTACATGTTGAACACAAATACCTGTACTTTCTACTTC